TCCAGTAAAATCAAGTTATGAGGCATAGTAAATCATATGATCCGTAATGTGATTTTACTGGAAACGCTCCCATATGACGAGACAACTATGGTGTAGGCTATCATTTTAGGTTATTCTTGACCCTAATTTCCAATAGTAGTAATGAATGTACATGATGATAAGTACTATACGTTCTCCCACATGGGTTAGTAATGTAGCAGTCTATCCAAGTATTTAACAATCAAAAGTGTTAAAGGGGTAATAGTGATTCAAATCAAATAAGTCATATAGCTACTTGTGAGCTATGCGTACCATATAATCATCAGCACGATTCTAGTAAAGCAAAAAAAAGGTTTTGCTATATTTAAAAATCTGTATCATACTATAGATCTGTTATATTGTGAAATTCGTTATATCAAAATTCGCTATAGTAAGAGTTGACTGTATACTAACCCCTAATGTTGATTGAATTCTTGATAGGTAAATTTTATAGCAATAATTGAAAGAATTTGCCTTTGACCATCTGGTCCTTTTCTTGTATTTTTCAATACATCACGAAATGCTTGCAAAAATATATAAGATTGATTTTCTGGATAACATGGGTTTAGTTAGAGGAATCCAGATTCATAAAGTATTTGTAATGTTTTATTATCTTTTTGTGCATTAGATGCTTTCATCCAAAATGCAAACTAAGAAAAAATAAAAATCAATAATGTAATCAATAATAATGTAATTTGTCAAATAATAAAACAATAAAATAATAAATCAATTTAACTTTAGATGTGATTACCTTAGACACATCTTTTTTGAAAGGTGTGATATTAGTATATCTTACATTTCGAATAAATGCTTTTTAAGTACGCCATTCTCAATTACTAATTTCATAGTTAGACAGATACAATTTTAAAATAGCTTTTCATAATTCTAAAATATCACTCTTCTGATTCAACCATTTATCAAATAAATCTTACCACTTAATTTCATGCGAAATTTTTTTTTCAAATGATATTTATAAAGATTTTCTAATATTTCTTCAAATTTCCAATCTAATACTGCACAAGAAGGAATTTATGCTTGTTAAATATAAATTTGTATATATGAATTTTCTAATCCAAAAAGATATTTACCAGAATAATTTGAAAGCCTGTTAATACATAACTAAGCTTCATCAGGATCAATAGTATTATAAGTCTTTTTTAAAGTTTCATTAGTAAATACTTGAATTACACATTCTTTATATTCTATCTCTTGAATAAATATTGATTTTACATTATCAAAATTGTATTGAAAAACAGATTTATATCCTTCTCCTGCATAGTTCCATTCTGGTTTCTTTGATTTTCCCATTCTCAACACAAATATATTTAATTTTCCAAGACTAAACATATATGAATGAAATACAACATCACTAAGCAATTGCTGCACAATATTTGAATTATCAAAACCCATAACTGGTAGATCAGAAAATTTTGCATTTGAACAAAAAACTTTTTTATAGCAAGCATTAATGGCTTCTGTTGACGAACTGCACACAATAGACTGAGTTTCTTTAATATAGCACAAAAATCCAGGAGAATTTAGATATTCAGTATCTTTCGCAACAGTAAATATGAAGTCACAGTTGTTTAAAACTGTAAGAGTTTTCATTTCTAATCAGATCAGAAGAAGAAAAGTATGTGTAGGAGTTTTATTTATGGGTCATACAATCTACTAATTATGACAAAATTAAAGATGGTTCTTATAATTATTTTTAAAAATTTTAACTAGTTGTAACTTAAGTTGTAACACTTTGAGTTGCAACTATTTATGAATTTTTATATTAAAATAAATTTATAAGGAGTTGCAATCAGATTGCAACTCAAATTGCAACTTACCGAGTTGCAACTTTTTAATTATGATATTCATCTTTAGACAAAAGGTTCAAAATGTAAATTTTCTACAATTTGGCTAGCAAAAATAAGTGTTGTGATGTATTTTTTATGTTTGCTCATATGTTTTATCTTAAAAAAAGTAGTTGGGTATGCTAAAAACGTAAGATTCTAAAAGACTCAAAATTATATAGGCGTATTATCCTCAGATACTCATATATATCGATCTCTACTTTATATACGGATCACGAATTAAGTATTAATATATTTTCAATATTTGTAAATAATAATCATTTACAGTATACTAATGATCTTTTGAAATTATCATTTTTTATCGATTTACTATTCTTTGAGAAACTGATAATCCTAATTTGCAAGTATATTAATTGAAGATGAAGATGGTTCTGAAGTTTTTAAATATGATCCAATATTTACTTTAATTTTATTTATATATTTGTTATTAATTCTAATCAAAAAGTAATATAAAAATACCAATTTTCTTTTATTATTATTATTAGTTTTTCAGATTTAGTATCAGATAGGTTTCCACTATATATGAAGTCGAAATGGATCATTTCAGATATCCGAAATGGTTGAAATAGTTGAAATCATTTTGACCATTGAAGGTTAAAGTTGTAAAATAGTCAAAATGAAATCATATCACATGATTTTCATATTGAAAAAAAAACAATAAACAAAAATATACGATCTCGGTCAATATCGCACTGATTCGTATGAAACAACTACCATTTGATTCTTTATTTGATTCCTCACCCTCTTTCCCGTTGGATTTTTTCCAAGAATTTTTACTTAAAAAAATGCTCATTTAACGGCGGCTGCAGCTTAGTTTCACTAGTCGAAATCATTTCTTTCAGCACTAATACTTTTCAGTTAACATTCATCCGATTCAGTCATGTGATTCGGCAAAAATTTGGCTTAAGTTACAAAATTCGATAGTCATTTGTTACATTGTGCGTAATTTAGCATTATTTCGACACTATGACCTTTCGGTAAACATTCAGCTGATTCGGTCATACTATTTGACAAAAATTCGGCTTGTATTACAAAAATCAATAGTCATTTGTTACTTCGTACGTAATTTAGTATTATTTCGGCACTATGACCTTTCGGTAAATATTCAGCCGATTCAGTCATACTATTTGACAAAAATTCAGCTTGTGTTTAAAATTCAGTACAAAAATTATAACAAATCTACTGTC